TTTCACAAAGATACATCCTTTTCGTTTTGAATTTTGCTTATTTTCTTTTTTGTGTGTTTGCTTTTGCTTCACTAAACGAAGCAAATCTATTCTGAGTGTTTTTGCATGTAATAGATTATCGGTTTTCAAATTCACTGTTTCAAATTATATTAATGATTAAAGATTTACAAACTGAGTCAATATGGTACTTAATAGCGCAATGAATGGTCAATATGTACTCCAAAAAGCTCAAAAATGATTTTCTATGATGAGTTCCCATTAGCATACATTTTGTCATATTGGTATTTAACACCATCTTATTTTGGGAACACAAATTTTCAACCTCGCACAAATCAAAGTTCAGGGCATTCTCAATACCTTCTACATTTTTATGACATGTATTTAAAGTTGCATCATCTGCAAACATATCAATATCTGTTCTATTTACATGTAAGGGGAGATCATTTATATACTGTAACAATAAAAATAATAGGGGACCTAATATAGATCCTTGGGGCACTCCTGCTGTGAAGGGCAAAAAATCTGAGGAATATGTACCTATTTTTACACACAGGGACCTTGAGGTTAAATAAGAATGAAACCATTTAATAGCCATTTGGTCAAAGTGATATGATTGAAGTTTATTTATAGGTATATCATGAATAACCAAATCTGCCTTGCCGAAATCAAGGAAGGTAATCCCTACTAGATTTCCTTGGTCCATAGCTGTGAGTTTTGTCAGAGCCGTTTGACATGAATGAAATTCTCGAAATCAAGATTGTCATTTAAATGAAAGATCAAAGTTAGAGGTAAAGTTACGTATTTGATTGGCTATGTGTTTTGCAACTAATTTTGATAGTGTTGGAAGAATGGATATGGGTCTGTAGTTCCATTGATCTGATTGGTTGTCATTTTTGAAAATAAGAGTGACTTTAGCTTGTTTTAAACGGGAGGGAAATACCACATTAGTAATACTAGCATTTATAAGATGTGTAATAGATTTGCATATAACATTATTTTGCAGAAAATTTTAGTAGACGAGGTCCAATAAAGTCAATACCTGCTGATTACGTACTATACATTTATCACCTGTATATGGCGAACATTCCAAGTTGATTTGATATGCAAGAACATTTACCTTGCCTACAAACAATATCTAAAACAAGGGATGCGATTGTTGATAGTTAATAATATCTACAGATGTCAAAGTCTCCTTTGAAGCCAAAGCATCGGAAATAATCAGGTCGATACGATTACATTGTTAACGAATACAATTACCATAAAGTTGCGAATATCGCAGATTTATTTGTTTTCGAATTTTCTCTGTATGAGGCTTTCGGCTGTTAACATGTTTGGTTTTTTTTTTAAATAATACAACATTTTCATCGGCGAGTTCAAGTAATAAAGTCCATTATATATACATTTAGAACGGTATTCCTTTTATTCTTTCAAATTGGATATTTACAATTACGGTAAAGACTAGCCAATCGTTATACTGTAAACCGTGTTGCAAAAAATTAATTTGGAACAAAGAAATTTACACCTAAGCGAATATTTCCTTAATTCTCCGTTAATACAAGAAAAGAACACTTGCATAAGTGTACCAAAAACCAACTTGATAATTGATTCAAGTAATGTAGGTGTCCATACGTGATGTATTAATTATAAATATCCAACTTGACCAATTTATTACCTAGTAGATTCTAACGTACTGTCTTACTTTTACAAGTAGAGTACATATCTTTTATTACTTTCACACACAAATTCTATTGATCCAGTGAAAACTACCGGTATATAAGATTTAATGATAAATGCATTTGAACAAGGAATCGAACATAAAAAAAACTCATTTTTGAGTATGTTGGCTAGAGGGCGAATGTGTGAAATAGACGTATTAATTTACTTTAGGTTTATTGTATTTTTCTGTCTTGGTATGAAATGTTTATTTGTCATTGTAACATGTTTTAATTAATTCTTGAAACTCTATCGCAAAATAATAAATAAAAATAAATTAAATATCGTTTTGGTATTAAGACAAAAGTGGTTTCTCGTAGAACTGTTAAATTATTGACTCATTGTTATATGAAACATTCAGTTGTATCGATGTGAACAAAGATTTGTAAAACGGGGTTATTGACAAGCATGTTGCTAAAACAGGAATAGCAGCATCCTCGTTTAAAGTCATCATTTCGTAAGCTCTTTACAATGACCTTGTCAGCAAATACAGTGTATAATTAAGATAAATACTATCTGACGTTTTTCATATTAATTGTTAGATCATTATATACATACAGCTTCTCGGTCATGAAAACGAGCACACGGTGGGTGTGACCGGTCGGGAGGGGATGCTCACTTCTCTATGGCACCTGATCCCACCTCTGGTGTTTCGGAATTCTGTGTTTGCTCTTTCTCCTGATTCGCATTGTTTAATTGAGCTTTTGAACTTAAATGCTGTTATTTATCTCTGTGTGTTACATGACACCTTCATTTCCTTAGAAAAGAGAAACCAATACTAGAAGTTATGAGACTGGCATGGTGAGTTTTGTTGCAATGGATGGTTAATGAAATTGGAAAAAAGATTGAAAGACTTCCTGATGTCCTAATATCAGTAAAAAAATATCCGAATAAAATAAATAATAATTGGGACCTTAAATCAATAATTTTAAAAGGTCCTAAATATAGGAAACCCTGATCCTTCCACTGGCGTCGGAATATCATAAATCTTATGTATTTTGTTGAAAATTACGCTAGTTGATGAGTCCGATACATGTATGAAAACTTTGTCAGAATAGATTAAATGTATCAGATCTATGTTAAAATCGCGTATTAAAAGATTGAGGGGCAATATGAAAACCATCTACGGACTCGGTTTAACGATAGAATTCGTTCCGTGTATTCGCAATGTAGCACAAGAAACACGGGTGATAACTCGTACTCAGTGCTTTTCTAGGAAGTAGGAACAATCCAGAGAGTTTAGAATGAAATTGGCAGGTACATTTGAAGCGAGAAAAACAGCTGTGAAAATCAATTGAATTTTTGTCTACATATGGATTATTTTTTGGGAATAAAGGTTTATACAATCTCAAAAAGGCTTGTTTTGAATTAATAAATTCGGTAGTTATTTTCAGCCCAACCCCCTTTTGTATTCTTCAAAAATCATTTCGGAACGGATCCGCTCCGATTTGCTACATTGTAAGTATATGGGACGTATTCTTACTGTGGAGAGGGCTTGAACCGAGACAAAGTTACATGTAGATTATTCTAGCTAAAAGAAAGCTTGAAGCAAATGTTCCTTCGCCAATAGCTCGGCATTTTTGAAAAAAAAAAGTTGGGCTGCAGTTGAATGAGACCTTAAAATCGAAGGACGGTTGACATTGGTATTATAAAGGAACCCTCACTGTTCAATGGCCCTGCATGCCGAGTAAATTTTGTATGGTCTTTTTTTAATATATTCGATCAGTGCTTACTATTTGTTCAAGACAGGTACGCTTCACACAAATTGTTTTGACAAAAATAGTTCCATCATGATAAGTAGATTCCGTCAACATACAACATTTACTGTTTATGATTAGAATAATGCTGTGTATGTGATACGTTAAAGAAATCAAAAATAACGTTTAACTGTTTTTAGAAAACCACTTTTCCCCCGAAATGCAAATAAAAAATATTAATATTCCTACGCTCGCTCCCTCCTCAGTCTTTTTTAACATGTTTGATAACAGAGAATATGTAGGTCATCAATTCTTCCATTGATATTTTTTCACCAATGAATTAATTATACTATATCAACAATTGTATTAAGTTGTTCATTGTTCGTTAATTACATGTATCATATAATTTCCTCTTTAAAAAAAAATTTCTGTGTGTGTGTTTTATTAATGACGGAATTTTCAATCCCTGAGCTGATTTCTGCATGTGCATAGATTGTGTAAACTGTAGGGAGCGCAACTATAAAATGTGTAGCAAAACCTGAACCGGGCTGGAAATTTCTAAACTGAAAACCAGGTTCATGTTGAAGCTCAGCATATTATCAAATATAGAATTTGTGTTATTTAAGTAAGTTACGTGACGAATACATTAGTATAGTTCAGTAATTTTCCAAAAACAAAAAAGTTTTCAGTTTCGAATTTCCCGACCCAGCCCTGATTTTCGTAACCCGTTTTAAACAAACTTTGTTGTGGATGCAAATGCTAGAACAGTTGTTAGAACAAAGTATAGTTCCGCAGGTATTGTATAATTTTTATTTATCAGAATTTGTATTTATGTGATCTGATTAAGTAAAAATGTTGTTTAATGAATTTTCTGGTATGTAATCAAATATAAAGTTAAATGTTTAATTTGTGAAGAAAAAAAAGTTCACCAGATTTTTACGCAAGTAAAGTGTCATTTTCCCGCCAAATGCCCAGCTACGGCGATGAACTAGGCCCATATTTTCGTGTTGAAAATTCAAGTAAATTGAAAAGTCGAATTCTTAATCCAGAATGGTTATACAACACCGGACCCGCCATCCTAACTTCTCGGCAAAACAAATGTGTTTCTCCGAGCTCACTAGATGCGTTTGACAATTTCATCGCACGTGTGTAGACAAGGCTAACTGGTCTTGCAGGCACAGGTATGTGCACGGTTTGCTAGGAGACTGGGGGCAGGAATGCTACGGACTCTTGAACTGTACACCAGTTCCATAACAAGACAGTGCAGTTTTTTTATAGAAGTCATTAAACACTGTTAAATCTAAAAGTCGAATATCTTTGGATATGGGGTAACCCATATCATTCTTGTTTACCATAGACATGAATGGGGTCAAAATATTGAAACTCAAGAACATCCCCTTTTTTGAAAATTTATTTCTCAGATTCTAAATACATGTACTTAAACTGTATTTTTTAGAGATTAAGAAAACTTAAGTGTGCTCAAAATTTTCTTTTTTCCTACATTTAAGAGTGTTGTACTCAAAGGCATGCAAAAGACTCAAATAAAATATCGCTTTGATAACTTTAATTATTAGAAGTTGTCTGCACATGCTATTTTGAGCAGCACTTGAATATACTAGACACTAGTCTTAAAATTCGTCCTTTGACTTTGATCTTCTTGGTCACTGGCAAAGAGTCCAGCTCAAAACTAATGGATTCTTCATCATTATAGAATTCATCTTTGACTAAAATCTTTCTTATAATATCGAGAAGCAGTTTGTGGAAATCCGTTTGATGCAAAAGGGATGTTTCCATGTATTTACACTTGAATTCCTTTTCTAAAAGTCTTCCATCTGCAAAGCAAGGAATGGAATAGAAAACAAGTCAGTAAATTTCTGCATTGAATAACAAGAAAGAAATGTTAATAATGATATCCTCCCTCTCCCGAAAATAATAACAAATAAAAGTTAAGCAATTGTAAATCTCACCATCTTTTGAAATTGACACTTTGCCGACAAGATCCATCTTATTGGCCACGAGGAAAATCGGAGAGGTCACTTTGTATTTCTTTCGCATTTGTCGCAGTATTGTTGCAGCAGTTGACAATGACCGACGATCCCCCAGTGAATAAACAAGAAAGAAGGCGTCAGAATCTCGGTTAGGGATATCTTGCTGCAATATAGAACAATTGTACTTAGCGTGTATTCAACGTTAAAGCCATTAATGAAACATATGGAGATAACAGTTTTCAAGCTCAAAAGTCCTTAAAACAAAACAAAATGGGAGCATAGGAAACACGGATCTCCAAAACATCAGAGGTGGGATCAGGGGGTACAAGTACATTCGGCACCTGGTGAATTCGGCACTCAAAGAAAAAGTGAATTCGGCTGAACTCGGCACCAGAATCTGGTCAATTCGGCATCTGATTCTGGTAAATTCGGCACCTTTCTATAATAAATCGAAATATGTGTTATTATTTGAGTTTTTTTTTCTTAATACCTTTCTTGTGACTACGTTGTTGATAAATAAATTTGCCTTTTAAGAGGAAAAAAAAAACGGTTATTTAACTGAAATACATATATTTGCTATCCTGATTTACGGACACTTGTCTGAAATTACAAAATTTCGGTTAATATCTTTTTTGTTCATGCGTTTTTGGTAACATTTCATTTAGTGATTTTCTTTTTAAAATTAATTAATGTCGTTTTCTAACTTCATGATGCGTTTAAAAAATGTTTTGAAATAAAACTGGACAAAAATCATTAACACTTATATCTACACATTTTAGTTCTGGCATTTTCATTAAAATTTCGATTTTAATTGTCAAAGTCATTGTGTATATTGTCAAGAGGGGGACGGGGTCGATATATATGCATGTGTCCTCCGTATACACAATGAATAAGGTGAAGTGTCATATATAATGAAGGGTGTAGTAAAAGTTTCTAACAAAAACTTACAAGGTTTAAATGTGTCACTTTCCTCAATACACAAGGCGAATAGTTGTGAATTGTCAGAAAATGAGGAGGGTATATAGTGAAGGATTCCAGGCAGGCGTCAATATGTCACTTGTTCTGCATCACCCAACGAAAACCAGCAATGAAAGGTATGTTGAAAAAATTTCACAATTTTAAAAATATTTTTAAAATATATAATTTGGTTCTCCCAACGCATTTTGAATTAAACAGTCTAATATCGCTATTTATGAAGAGAGAGAGAGAGATAGTTTCGCCCTCTAATAAATGATTTTCATAGTTCGTATGTGGAAACTCCGGTGCTTCGTACGAGGAAGTTGCGGTTTTTAAAACTTTATGAATTCTTTTTGTATAAAGTCCTTTTTCATTGAAGAATTATGATTCTTATTTCGAACTGAAACGTACATCATGGGTTATTAAAGTCGTATATGGTCTATTTTTGATAAATACAAACAAACAAAATTTAAAAGATTTTTCTATTTGTTTTGTTATTTTGTAAAAACAGGAATATTTGTGAATTTGGCTTGCCATACATATCTCTCTCAGTCTCGCTATATTGAGAATTATATCTGTACTGGAGAGTTAAAATTTTGGGATTTTCTCGCTGCCGAGTGCCGTCTTATTTTCCTATAATTTGTTAAACTATTCAACGAGCCCCTATTCAACATTTATTTCCTTCCGTAGCGACAGCTCCCCACAAAAAACTTGAAATGTATTATACATTTTTATTTTTATCATCATTATATTTGTAACATATTAGCGTAAAATAATTCATCATATAATGATAAAATTTTACACTCGGTAATAAAATACGTCTGGTCATTTAACACGTGCGTTTATAACCCAAATTACACGACCTCATGTAGATTCTAACCACGCCTGCTGCTTTGAGAATTTTTTTATTGAAGTGAAATTACAATCATGTCAATTTCTTTTCATATTGATGAATATATGGAGCATGATGATCTGTCAAAAAGTCAAATATAAATCAAATTGAATGTTAATTTGAAAATAATCCCTATGCATGTATATAGGCCTCAATATCAGTATATAATTGGCCAATATTCGGTTATTTAAAAAATTGCTATTTTAATTGTCATTCACTCAAAAAATAAGGTACCTTACCGGGCACTTTTATGAGATTCCAGAGAAGATCTGTTTCTTGTTAAATATAATCCTACATATTGGGAAAATAACGTTGTAAATACCCTGGTATCATTTTTTGTGTGTGTTTCGAATTCTTTAAGACAACAATTATAGGAAATTCCTACAAATAGATCAGCAATATTTTATACTCTATATATCCTTACAGACAAATGCAACCAAATTGTTCGCCCTCGACAGGAAGCTGTTCAGTGTGAACAATGTCATGTATACATCTACATTCAATTTCGTATTATCATTTTTTATCTCAGAAACGCCATATATTATAGTGCTCACACAAGACTCACTGGCAACGCAAATATCTTTTTGGAAGTAGAAAAGTTATGAAAATCGATTATATCAAATATATTTCCTTATTATCATATTTTTTTCTAGATCCGTTCCGAGTATTTTGTTACTTGTTATGGAGAATGTTTCGCTGCTGTAACATTTTATTTCTTTCCATACATATTTAGAGAGAGATTAAAAAACAGTGTGTAATAATCGCAAATCTTCAATTAATTCTCTTCTTATATTAGAAAAATTGAATAAATTGACAATAAAAAATATAATAAAGAAGTGTAGAGTAACCCGTTTAAAATGGGTGCCGAATTAACTAGGTGCCGAATTAACCAGGTGCCGAATATACCTGGTGCCGAATTCACTTTACTTGGTGCCGAGTTCACCAGATGCCGAGTATACCAGGTGCCGAGTTGACTAGAATTCGGATCAGGTGTAATGGAGGAGTGAGCGTCTCCTGGCGAACGCTCACATCCACCGTGTGCTCCTTGTCATGATCAGGAAATAATTGTACTTAATGTGTATTCAACGTTAAAGGTCTTAAATCAAGTTTAAAGGCAATGCATGTACATACCTGCATATGCATATCTGTCTCGTGGAATTTCAAATTAACCATGTTGTCATCCACCCTCAAGAGGAACTTTTCATCGCAGCAATCGTCTGCAAGATGATTTATTCGATATTACTCTTTTCAAAAGATGTAATTTATTGTTGTTGTCAAGTACGTGTACAAACTTGATTTTATTTCTTTTGATGTTGATATATATAACTTAAGTTACTTTTGTACATGTTTTTATATGTATGTTGTGCTTTTTATTCACTGTCATTGTCATTTATAATTATTGTATATTTCAATAAATGACCATTCTTATTCTTTAAAGAGGAATTATGTTTTTGTTTGATTGGGGTTGGAAGCCAAGCAGACATAAAAATAATTACAATTATTTACCAAGGTATACTAACCATACTTACCTCCACTTGTTTCAAATTTAGGGATGCATCCGGATCCTTTACTTGTGAACCTTTGTATCAGAGAGGTTTTTCCAACATTTGAGGCTCCTATGACGTTTATCTTGCAGGGGATGCCACTTATGTCTAAATCTGAAGTTGTTCCATTTTCCATCATTTGATGATAAGGAAAAGGGCTTCTCATATTTTCGCGCAAGAAATTGGAAAAGTGAAAAGAATCGCCGCAGTTTTTGAATCCTCTGCATGCAATTGACAAGTTTCTTATATCATAATGGTCGGGTGAATGCAGATTGGAGCGTGCAGATATTGTCATAGATCGAGGTTTATACAAAGAAAGACTTTCTCGTTTCTGTCCATATCCGGAGAAAGTATTACATTGTTTTCGAAATGACTTCCTATGACTAGATGAAGTATCAGATTTTTTCTTATATTCAAGCTTCAAAACTTTTCTAGACTGCATTGTGTGATACATTGTAATTCAAATTCAAGAATAATTCAAATGCAGAATTGGCTTTCTTCTATATACATGTATATATATATATATATATATATATATATATATATATATATATATATATATATATATATATATATATATATATATACATGTATATATATAATGTTTAACACGAGAATTATTTCATTGGGTGAATTTTTAAATTGACATCTCTAATTATATTAGCGTGTGAGGAAAATGCACTCTCATACGGGTATTAATATTTAAATGGCATAAGTCACGTACGCCCCGAGACATAAGAACGTGCTATAATAAAGCCATAAAATATTGCCATTTTTATAAGAATAAAACTAGACTACCTATAGGAAACGTTTAATATACAAATACATAGACCTCATGATAAATTTTGCTATTTAAAAACATTATATTTCTTTGTTTTGGTAGAAATAGTTCATTTTTAAGAAGCTTTTAACTGTTATGATCATGCAAAAAATTTTCGTTTTGCGATTGAATAATTGCAATAAAAATTTTCGGTTAATAGTGAGTGATAAACAAATGAAAATTTTCATGTGAATTGTAGATCTGGACTGCATGAAAATAACTTCCTTTTTTTTCTGTATCAAAAGATAAACATTAGGAAACTCACAATTAATATACATGTACGTTGGTTATATACTGTAAAGGCATTTTAATTGTTAGTGGGCAAGCAAAATTCCGTTGGTTCGTGGGGACATTACTCATATATTACTCTTATATTCACAAAATTCTGTAAATGAAATTGACAAGGAGCACACGGAGGCATGTTCACCACTGCATGGCAACTGATCCCACCTCTGATGTTTTGGAGGTCCGTGTTTGCTCTATTCCTATTTTGTATTGTTTCAGGACTTTTGATCTTTAATACTGTTCGTTATTTTCGTATGTTTTACAAAATTAATGTTCTTTTGGATGTTTATTCGTGGATAAGTGCAACCTTCGAATTCCACGTACATTGGCCAATCACGAGCATTAAAGATTCACCAATATACAATATTAGAACATACTGTATATACACGTGTGTTAGATTCAACGACTTTCGATTCTCCGTTTCTTCCTTGAGTGTTTATCCTGCATATACGTTAATTACATGTATTTACAATTCAATCTTTTCTATGCAGAAAAAAGACCTAGTTGAATACTGTTCGACATCTCCACATATTTTAATTTAATATCAATAGACATTTTTCTCAAAAATCATATCTTTGATATATATATTTATTCAATTATTGACACAACTGTCAACTGTCAATATACTGAGGTTCAATGCACTTGAAATTATTAATGACTTCACCTTTGTTTTAAAATAGAATAAATAGACGTCTATTCCACTAAGTTGTGAAAACTTTACGAAAACTTATTATTGTCTATGCTAGTATGAAATCCGTGCATACCAATGCGTATTCCATAAGAATCAAAATAAAATCAAGTGGGCTTGAAATCTTGCTTCTTAATGTCCATTGGACTAAAGTTAGATTATGGACGTACTGTATCGAACCAATAAATAGTTACAACATTCATTCGTACTTAAACATAGTATGTGTACAAATTGCAGAAAAATGACTTTGCAAAAAAAAATTGCAAAACAGAAAAAAAATAATAATGATAAAGCAAAAAGAAAAATATAAAATGAACTAAAATTGAAATAAAGGAAGATTGAATTTGCGAATAATTCCTTCTATTCTATTATTTATAACATAAATAAAATTATATTTCAACCGTTTCAATCCTATATTTATTTCTTCTTTTTTTTGTTATTTTTGTTAATGCACACATGCTAGAGCCGTCTAATCGTTGAACATTCTGGCCAAAGTGCAAAAGAAATAAAGGCTGTATCTTCTTGTTTGGGCGTAGCCGTCTAGAAGATGTGATTTTTTATACATAGAACATGTACAGGAATACTTCATCAGGTGAAAGACATACTAAAGACATCATATCACATTTCAACATAGATATCCTAACTTGAAGTCATCTTGTTTTAAATGTTCTACTTGGTTATTTAAGAAATTAAAAAAAGAAATGAAAAAGGAAATGTATGGCTCGGTCAAGTGATTAAAACATTTTAAGGCCGAATGCCTTCTCGGTGCATTTTTTCATCAAACCTCTTTCCCACTGAGATTCAAAACTTTAATTCATGACACACGTTTAAGATGGACAACCTGATATTAATTTAAATAAAAAAATGCTTTCTTTGGTTGTTAGTATGGAAATTTATGCCGCAGCTGCTGCAGAAAAAATACGTAACCCGTGTAAGCGTATGTTATATTTATATCTGTATTAATAATCATTTAAAGTGGGATTAAAGGATTAATTATTATATTATTGATATGTACACATGTACGTCATAGTATGTTTCATTGATCGAGAAGTCTGTACAGGTGATATGCCTAGTCTGGTTTGAACTGATAAATGTGCAGCAATGGTTTTCTAAAATATTCAGTGGATGTAAGTATATTGCACTTACTGTTCGTCGTAGATGTTTATAAACTAAGCAAGATGTTAATCGACTTGAAAGGAGTTGTACTTTGATTTCAGAATTCTGTTTTGAAGGGAATTTCCTGTAAAAGGATATTTGTGATCAATAATAGTGGGCACATTGTCGTCTACAAAAATCCTGTTGTGAGAACCGATATTCGATGTTAAAAAGGCAAAAGAAACATTTGCACTAAAATATTAACAGTAGTGGAGGAGAAACTTCAGTATTGTGCAATAATATATTCAAGAGGTGTTGTAAATCAGATGTGGATACTTAAATATCCCAAGGAAAGTTTGGAAAATTTGAAGCCACAAAATTTTACCAAAATCAACAGCATTAAAACTTACGACTTTCAACTGTATATAACTATTCCCCATCATAAAATAAAGTTCAGACTTTTTGATATTCTTTATGTGTACATGATTTGGCAAATTCAAAATTTAGCGAATCAAAGGGGCATAGAGTTGTAAGCATAATCAAGAATTAGCGTTTAATATGTCCATGCCTTGTTTTAATTGTATATCAATAAATGATTTCTAAGTGGTATTCATGAATTGGTGCTTTCTTGTCCACGCCAAAGCTGCTAAAATATGAAACCCGCTATTTTTGGTACACTTACAGTAATTGACAACTGCTGCATTTTGAATAAAAATGGAACTCGTAAATTTACTGAACTTTTCATTGATCCTTTGCTAAATTATTTTGTAAAAACATTCTGATTGTAAATTCAAGTATTTTGAAGTCGATATAAAAAGATGCTTCAATTGCTGACTGATAAAATCTTTGTGGTTTTTGTAGACCATGTTTTCCAACACCCTGTTTGAATTCCCATGGGTACACATTACGCCCCGTTATTAGCAGACCTAAATTCATATGAAGCAGAATTTGTCCAAAATCGTATGCGGGAAAAGAAGAGAACACTTCCTTTGACCTTCAACTCGACATATAGATTAATGATGACGGATTGTTAATTGATAACCATGGGTATTTCCATTCTTATGTCGATTGCGATATATCCTGGTGAGCTTGAAATAAAAGATAGTACAGAGTCTGACACATCTGTTTCATATTTGAATATTTTATACTTTAAAAGGACGTTAATAGTTACTAACAACCAAGCTTTATGACAAACTTGATGCATACGGAGTTTATATCTCTCAGTTGATTCGATGCGCAAGAATATGCTCTGTGTATATACAATATCAAACGAGATAAATCATTGACAAACAAGTTGATAAAACAATAATATCAGCAGTCTCCTTGTCTTAGGTTGATGAAATGACCTTGTACATGTAGTAAATACAATTTATCACTGAGGCAAATGCTGACTGACGTTTTTCATACTAATTGTTAGGGCATTTTTTACACTTCGAATTGAAGACGGATTTTTCCGTTATTTCCAATTCATGTCAAGGAGCACCCGGCGTGTGTGACCGGTCGGCAGGGGATGGACTTTTGAGCTTATCCTTATATATTTCATTCCATGAGGAAATAGTCCATCATCATTCATGCGTCAATTATTGTCAGTAATTACGTCTAACTATAAAGAAACACACTTTCGAAAATACTCCAGAAAACCCTAATTGGCTGATACACATCGAACACATTATAACATGTAACAAAAATTGCATGAGTTGCTAAAGGAGTCAAAACTTCCAGACATAGATAAATAAACAGCGTCTTTGGGGAATTATCAACCAAGGTGAATAATATTATTTTATTGGTGTATGAAAATGGTTGTAAATTTGCTAAAGATAAGTATTACGAAAGAATAAAGTCTAATACTCTGTCTTGTTGGTGTTTCACCCTTATAAAAAATACTGAAGTGTTTTAAACTAGCTATAGTTAGCAATTAAAAAAATATAGTTTTTGAAAATATCATTGCTTAAAATAGTAAATCAAAGTCTTGTTAAAATGGTGTAACGGGAATACATTATGCACTATCTTTCTATTCAGTACAAAGAGTTGGATTCAAAAGACAGATGGTTATTATATTTTCAGTAATAATTTAATATCTTTAAAGTATATGTCAAGGTTTTTATGACATTGATTTGCAAACAGAATTATTAAATGATGCCATAATGTCAAGATCATGTATAAAGATCATGTAAGACCGCAGCAACTTTGCCTTTCTCAATTATTACAGACTAATTTTGATTATTATTAAAAATTGTCAATTATACAA